GCCTATGACAAGCCTTTGTCACCAGGAGATGCAGCCTATCTTCCTCCCCTAACACACAAAGCTGGGAACTGTTTTGAGAATGCGGGAGCAGCTCTAGAAACTGGGATCCCAATGATGGATGAAAGACATGTGTGTCATCTCAGGAAACTTGGGCTTATTTTGTGACTGCTATGGGGAAGCATGGCCCGCATCACGGCGTTGGCTGCATGTGTCATTTACATTTGGATTTATTTAGGGAGGTGTTGCTAATTTAATTGTGTCCTGTTCTTCTGGGAAACTGAACTGATAATCTGAAGCTAAATGGTTGTCCAAGGAAAACAAGAACAATTTGCTTTATTCCATAGTGCTCCAGGTTTTTTTTGAGGGGTCATTCCCCTAATGGTTTGCACTGAGATGCTGAGTAACTAGGGCAGGTTTTCTAATGAAACCAGCAACTAAAATCATTCCTGGCTTGTTTTGTTCCTTTATGAATATTCAGGAAACTGCTGAATCTGAATATCAAAAGGAGGGAAGAGAAGACAAGAGGTCTCTTGGTAAGTACAAGGTGTCAGACTTCAATGGCTAGAGAGGCTGTAACAGTGTCAGTATTCCTTATATCTTACAGACCATCTTTGACCATAATAGCTTTTCCTTCTGTTTGTTGTTGTTAAAGGGACCCAAGGTGGCATTTGTTCTGAGTATGAATGACAGGTTGAAACAAAACCTTTAATTAAAATCTGTGAAGAGTTAAATTTGTGCTTTTTAATTTTAATGTTCTAAGTCTAATAAAATACAAAATAACATACACATATACATATTTGTATTTTTTTCATTTTTCATACATTTTCATATGCACACAGAGAGCATATATACTATGCACATCCAGGTCTAGACCTTGAAGGAAAGGGAACTACAGATGACCCCAACCCTGCATGCGTTTCACGAACAGGTTAACACCATCTTCTTCAAGTGTGCTTTTGGCTTAGTTGTTCTTGGGTCCTCATTATGTCTTTTTCTTTCTTCTTTGTCCTGTATGTCTTATCTTGTTGTTACATGCCCAGCATCTCTTAGGATTGGGCTGGGATATAAAGATGAGAAATAAATAAATAAAATGTTGGAAAAATACAGGGCAATGCATTGTGGCTTTGTTCTTGGAGGGACACTCAGTGATCTCACTGGAGGGGATTCTTGGCCTGGTCTACCTCCCAACTCCTGCATAATCCAATTTTACAGGTGCTGGCACAGACGTAGGACATTCTGTCATTTTTCACCATTACAAATTTGGAAGGCAATGGCAGCTTGCCACTGTGGTGAACCCGAGAATATGGAGAAATATTAAATGTTTTGTGAAGAAAAGTGAAGACAGTGTGTTTAAGCATGGATCTGAGATGACAACTGGTGCATCCTGACTGCCAGGCAGTTCTATGTGCTCAGCTATGCCAGGAAGAGCAAATGATGATTGACTGGTAGTTTTCCATGACTCTGTACATGAGCAAATATGTAAACATGTCAATGTTTGTAGTGTCCTTAAAACAGTACAGCTCAGTCTTGAATGTGTTTTAACTTGGATTGAGGCGGGTTGGGAGATGGAAAAGCTGATTGCCTGAAAATGAACCAGGTCCAGACATCCCACCAAGCCTTGGAACAGTTTCTTTGTTAGCTTTGAGACTTCCAAATGACCAGGCTTTCCACTCCAGTCCAGTTTAAAATGTGCCCAAGACTGAGCTGAGCTGTTCTGACTCTTTGCAGATCTATTCAGATACCAAAACACGACAAGTAAGGTCATATTTATATAGTTAGGAGCTCACGGGAACCTTCAGCTAACTAGTTCCTGTCCTTTCTGGCCTATAGCTTAGCCTGGAGAACTGTCACAGCTATCATTTCAGGCTAGAAAATAACTGAGTGCCTTGTCCCACCCCCTTGGGTCCACCAGGCCCAGGCTAAAAATCATCCCTGAGATTTGGTACTCCAGCAGTTCCACCTTGAGATGCTTTTTCTGAAAGATGCCACCCCATTGCCAGAACAGGAGCCCAGGAGCTAAGAATCCCTGAATGGGGACATAGACGATGCCTTAAATCACAAGGCAGCTCTACTTTGCCATTTCTGAACCAGTTGTCACTAAGCTGAAATAACAACTCTTAGTTCAAGGATAAAATGGCCTTGGTACAAGGATTGGTTGTGATTGCAAACCCTTGGTGATAACACCATGTGATTGCTGGGGGAACAGTTTGTGTCACTCCAATACCAATGCTATATTTGTGCCTGCACTTCAGCCACTGTGGTTTCTGAACATGGTTAATGTATGTTCATACATACATGTATCTTCAAGGATCAACTTAGTATGTTGCATGAAGCCAGCTGATTGTGGTTTATTAGTAAGCCATAGCTTAATGAAATATGGGAGTCCATTGAGAAACAGTGACTCCTGTTCCAAGGCATTCTTTGGAATGGAGAATTATTCTTTTGCTTTAGAATTAAGCACACAACTTGGCTTGCCCCCCATCTCTATTTATTCCCAGGTAGCCCTTGCATTAAACCAGCATGCCAGTTAAGTGAAATACGTACTTTCACAGTCGCACCTGGCCAGCCTCTAACCCAGGGGAGGATAAATGCAAACATCGCAGCCTGCACGGGCAGCTCTCTCCCAGCCTGCCTCAGCTTCGTCAGCCTGAGGACCTGGACCCAGCTGGGTCCTGGCAGGGGCGCCCAGGGCATTCAGTCTTCGGCTGGGGCAGAGCGGCTTGGGCAGGGGGCAGCCGTTCAGATGGCTCAGCACTTCTTTCCTTTCACTGGAGCAGAAAAGGGGGAGTATTTTTAGCAGTTTGGTTCTCGCAAACAGTAATTGGTTTCTGAGGGTTTTGCTGTATATTCCTGATTGTGCTTCACAGTTTGCTACACAGGAAAATGTGTTCTTTTCCCTGCTCAGCTCCTTTGGCGGTTTTTGTTTAAGCGGGTAACTCTATTGCGAAGTTGGATGGCGTCCATGAAGATTGCCGGATCAGCAGACACCAGGCCTCATTAAAACCTTTTCTTCCCAACCTAATAGCAACCCCCCCTACGTTCCTCTGGAGCCGCCCCACCCACCCTGCTAGCGCATGTGGGCACACTCACTTGCTCCAGGCCTGCCCCTTAATCATGCTTTAGCAGCTGAGGCCGGGAGGGCCAAGTGAGGGGATCCTCCTGGCCTCCCCGCTGCTGCCAGCCAAGCACCTTTCAGCAACTCCTCGGCAGGTGGTGCGGGGTCACCTGTCGGCTCCATGGTCACGGCTGGCATGCAGGCTTCGCTTTTCCCTCTTCCCCAGGACAGGCCTTCCAGGAAAAAACAACCTCTCAATAATTCTGTATGGATTTTGATGCAAAGAGGGAGTGCTTGCAATTGAAGATTTTTTTTTTTTCCTTTTCACCATACCTTAAAAGAACAAACCCTCCTCTCTTAATTTTGTAACTATTCTTCATCAGCATACAGGATTGGGGATTTTAAAAATTCAAAGATGTCCTTTCAGGGTATCTACTTCTTCAGGCAGTGGAAAGAGGAAAAGTTCCATCTTTTTATGCTATTCTTCTGGGCCTTCCCACCAAATGTCATCAGTTGCTTGAGTGCAAACGTTCAGGTGCACGTGGGCTAATAGGCCACTGTCGGTGGAACTGAGATCAGAGAAATGATGGAGCGGCTCAACACTCAGCGTGGTGTGGTGGTTAAGGTGTTGGGCTAGGACCAGGAAGACCAGGTTCTAGTCCATCCTCCACCACAGAAGCTCAGTGGGTGACCTTGCGCCAGACACCTTCTCTCAACTGAACCTACCTCACAGGATTTTTGTTGTGAGAAAAAAAGAGAGGGAAAATAGAAAGATGGATATAAATCTAATAAATAACCATGGATTGGAACAAAATAGTGGACCTCCTGAGGACAATGTTGCATCTGGAAACCTAATGACAGGCTTCTTCCCACATCATTTGTCAGTTGGCTCACATTGTTTGCACTGGGAATAGACAGGGCCAGCTGACTTATGGGGTATCTTTCTATTCCTGTACACTACTCTAAACATAAAGCTCCCCATGCCATTCAAATGCACTGCTGATTCCTGGGTTCCACCTAGAAACCTCCTTAATAAACAGAGAGCTGGCAGTTGGATTCCACCATGTTGGAGACCTCTTAGTCTCCCTGCTGTTGCCTGGTCAGTTGGAAAAACCAGGGGCAGCAGGCAATCAGGGAGAGGTGGTTGAGACACAATGTATGGAGAAGGGAGGGGAACGGAGCAGGGAGACCTGATTGCATTGGAGTGGAGAACTCAAGGATGGAACAGGGAGAAGGGATGGCTGAGGGTGATCTGACAGGATAAGAAGAAGAAATTGAGAGACTGGGATGACAGATGGAGGAGTAAGGAAGGTCTGCAGGTAATCAGATAAATATGTTTGGAGAGATGACATATATGAAAGAGAGAACTATAGATCCAAAGAGTAGGCTTACATTTGAAAGTTTAAACCTCATCTCAGCCTGTAGAAGCTGAATGGACCCATTTGGTGCCTTGACCATTCCCTATTAAGTTCAAAGCCCAGCCTTCCTAACTGAGGGCCAAAGATTTCAGCCTCATCATGACATCACCAGTCATGCCGTCTTACCCCACCCCATAACATGCAGTTCCCAATGGCCAAAAAAGTTGGCAATATACACAATATAACCTTGAGCAATTCTCAGCTTACAGAATGATCAACGTAGGGAGCTCACAATATCTTTTGGGTATTTGTTTTAAAATGACTCTTCTGATATAAGTTAAATACAATAAAAAATAGAAGTCAACCACAGCTGAAGTTGATATAGCAGGCCCTTGGAAAAGCTGTTCATTCTCCTAACTGTTCAGAGGTTTACTCCCAACCTCATCCAATGCACATTTAAATAAATAAAGCTCATATTTTTTAGTGAAACATATTTCAAAATAAGTATACTGAGGTACGAAGATCTGGATTTTGGTTTAAACTTTCTACACTGAAAGGTAGACCAGATCAGGAAAGCATCTCCACAGGAAGATTAGAGCTATACTTTATTGAGAGTATAAAAAGACTCAAAAGACTCTTGTAAGCCTGATTGTGTTTTACTTCCCCTCTCTCTTATACCCCAATAAATCAGGGAGGAGACTGCCTGAGTCTCTTCCAAATTCTATCTTGTCTCCCAGGGCTTAAGGAATGTTTTAGCCCTCTGCTTATGGAACAGTTCTTGCCTATTTCCCTCAAGGTCATCTCTCTGACTCTCTACAGTATCCTTCTGGAACAGCTGTGGGGTTTGGGAGTAGGGGGTAGGGGTACTGTATTATGGTGATTCTCCTCCTTTCTCCACAGCTGGATCCAGTCAGTGTTGATGGGGGAGGGAGAGATCATGCCCTCAGCCCCTCATTTGTGGGATGCCTCAGAACTAGACACTCTCTCCCCTCCTGTTTAATATCTACATGAAACATTTGGGGAAGTCTTTTGTTGGTTCAGGGTCTGGTATCATCAATATGCAGATGATACCCAGTTATACTTCTTGACCCCAGGCTAGCCAAATGATGTCAATGTCCTGGCCCAGTGTCTGGATGGGGAGGAACAGACTTAGGTTGAATCTTGTTGAGACCAAGTGACTCTGGACATTTGGGTCCCCAGATTTGAAAACTTTCCATCTTTAGTCATGGATGGGGTTGCACTGCCCCATTTGAGACTGGTGTGCAATCTGGTGTTCATCTTGGAATCACAGCTCCTGCTTGAAAAGCAGATGGCAGCTGTGGCTAAGAGAGCCTTTGCACAGCTCCATCTAGTGTGCCAGTTGTACCCATTCTTAGATCAGGAGGGCCTCCAAATGATTACTCATGCCTTACGTCATGACTGGACTGTTGCAATGTGCTCTACATGGGGTCCACTCAGAAGCTGCAGAATACAGTGGTGTAGACAGTGATAGGCATGCTAAGTATGCCCATATGACACCACTGTTCTCCAAACTACACTGGTTACTGGTGAGCTTCTGGGTGCAAATCAAGGTGCTGGAAATCAATAAATATAAATAAAGAAAACATAATTAAACATCAGCCAGGTAGCTCCACATCTGGACAAGCTTAGGTTCATCAAATTGGTTGCATCATATGCTCTCCAACAGTGATCCAATAAATATTTGGGCATCTTCCTTCTATCCCTGTTATACAAATGATGTCCTGGTCAAATAAAGAGAAGACAAAAGAATAATGAGAAATTGATATTAATTTTGGTGTTCAGTAAGACAGCTGAATAAAGAAACATGTGATTGTGACCCGTTATAGGAAGAAGCACTGAGCAAAATCTCTACAGTGATTGACCAGAGATATTAAATGTTCCTGGATGCCACTCCATGGAATAGATTTCGAGATGTTAATTGCAGTCCTGTTTGATACATTGTAGCATGCAAAACTAGACCTTCCATTAGTAGATGTCAATTTAATAGGATTGGGTAATGAACTGCAGAAAGTTTCACCAAAGCACCTAAAACCTCTGTAAAAGTTACAAGTAGTATATGGACTTCTTAAAGAATTATCAGTTGCTGAATCCTTATCCCATCCACAGTTTCAAACAATGAGACAAGCCGCACAATCTCATGACCTGGAGTCAAAAATCAGTAAAGAACACTTAAAGCAAAATCAGAAGGCAAAATTCAGTCCAAAATCAAGGTCCAGTTCAGGTTCAAGACAAAAAGAATCATCCTCCACAATCAAGGTTGAAAGGGTCAAAGAGCCCGATATCAGGCCAAGGTGAGACTTCTTAGAAACAAGATCAGGTCCAGAGTCAAGGCACAAGATGAAGCTATCTCAGTGTTTGACTGTTCCAGCATTTGACTGCTGCTGGGAAGAAGCCTTTATATTAAGAGGGCTTGGCTTTCATTCAAAACAGCCAGGACTATTCAGAACTGTTGGTTGAGCCGAGCTATTCAGGAGTACAAACTGACTCCCAAGTGGACCATTACTTTCCCGGGCTGTTCCAAGCAATCTGGCATGCCTTCCCTTTCTGCAGTTTGGCTCTCGACACGCGGCCATTAATGGCCTTACAGACTTAGAAGCTGTGTCACCATGTCAGGATCAGAATCCAGAATTTTAGATTCTCCTTGCCTTCTTGTCTATCTCCTGCTTTCCTCCTCAGAGGAGGACTCTGAGACCCATGACTGTCTCATAACATATATCTGAACATGAATCAAAGTATATATAAAAATATGAACCAACCTTTTTGTTTAGCCTTTAAAAGTATTATTGCCAACAATGATTATATCTGATTATATCCCTGCTGGGTAAATTTCATTAAATAGGATTCAAATAAGATTACAGCAGGATAAGGAGGTTCCTTTGAGAAGGGCTAGGATAAAGTAGAGCCAGTAAAAAGCAACATGTTGGCTGAAAGGTTAAAAAAGTTGAAACCCGTGGCTTGGGTGCAGCGTGGATTGCATTTTGCCTTAAGAATCAGAGGTGAGAATAATGGTTGAATGATCAAAGTGGGTCAGGCTATATTTCTGATTCTTTAAATTTTGCTTTCCTTGTTATATGCTGTTTTTGCACATACTCCCTTTTGCTTGCAAAATGGAGAAAAGTTGCTTTTTCATTTAAATAAAGCTCAGGGTGATTGTCAATGAATATGTCTCAGCTTATTGCCACTTTTAGTTACGCTGTGCTGCAGGGTTTGGTCAGTTTCATGGGGCATACAGTAGGTGGATACTCTCCATGTGCTCAGATTCACTGGGTGAGAATGCTTGTTTCTCCCAGTTGATGGATGGAAAATTGGAAAGGGCAAGGCTCCTGCTATGGCAATGCTACACTGAGGGTAGTTCTACTTTGCTGGAAAACTGGGACAAAAATCATGTATTCCCTCTCCTCTTTCAACTCCTGAATACCCCATGTAGTCATTAAGTAATTATTTTATTATAGAGCAAAAGAATTGCTTTTGGGATTGCTTTCCTCTTTCTGAAGGGTATCTCTTACTGTAGACTGATATGTTAACCATACGATACCACACACATTAGCCAGTTTTGAAGCTAAAATGGAAGAAGGCATATCACACACACACACCCTTTTTTTATTTTACAGATACGGTCACAACAGGAGTTTATTTATAATTTCACTTTCTATGGCTACCCACTTGGACATATAAACTCTGGGCAGATTACAAGGGTTAAAACTAGCAACATAAACATTTTAAAACAACAATAAGGACAGCCATTCCACAGGATAAAACTACAATGCCTCTTAGCAAAACATAAACTCAATCTCAATAGTTGTCACACATAACATTCTGACCCAGGGCCTGTGAAAAGAGCCAGGTCTTCAAGGCTCTCTTGAAGGACAGCAGGGTCTTGTACTGATCTTAGAAAAAATATTATTCCAGAGGGCAGGGAAGGCATACCTCCTGGATCCCACAAGATGACACTGTTTAATTATGGGATCTAAAGCATGCCAATGCTCATGGATCTTACCAGATGGGTAGACACAATTGGACCGACAAATAACCAGGCTGCAGGCCTTGTAGGCCATCATAAGTAACAACCAGCACCTTGAAGTTCTAGAGGTACCTGTGCTTGGTGGAACTAGACAACTGCAACAGAAAATCTAAAGGGGGAAAAAATCCTGAATGCCAAACATAAGAGTCATCTGGGAACTGAAGAATGCAAATGAAGGGCTTGAGAAGTTGTTTATTGGCCAAGCATATGTGCTCAAATTGAAGACTTGGTACAGTCATGTACCAGATGTCAAGCCTTCAGAAATAAAGCACATAAAGAACGTATGTTGCCTCATGAAATTCCAAAAAAGCTTTGGCAGAAGCTGGGAATGGACTTATTTGAATTTAAAGAGAAAGGCTATCTCCTTGTGGATGATTACTGTTCAAGATATATGGAAGTATATTTGCTTCAGGATATTGTACATAAATCAGTAATCGAGCCCAGTGATGGTATAGTTGGAAATGAAACTGTTCAAAGATGCTCAGTGACAACACAAGACATTTTCTCTGAAGATTTCAAAATGTTAATAAAAGCATAGCATTTTGTTCACACCACATGAAGCGGAGGAGGAGTAAAAAAAAAGCTATTAGATTCAAAAAGTAGTATTTCTACTAACAATGGAAAGAGATGTAATAATAGTAGGACTCATAATGAGTGCATGGTATTGGGGAAACAGCAGAGAAGCCCAGCCAGCACAGCCAGTAGGGATGTTAGGAGTCATTGTCAAGAGAATGACATTCCAGGCTTCAAGGTGCCCAAGGTGGAATTCCCACCCATACTTCCAGCTGCTTCCTCAATTTGCCTCCCCACTCCACTTCTCCCTTCTTTAGCTCTTTTTCTTTCTCTTAACCCTCAGCACACACATTCTGTCTGCTCTTCCCACTGCTGGGGATGTTGGTGCCTTTTCTTTCTGTCTTAGCTTTTGAAAGAATATGGTGTTCATCATATAGCAAACTGGCAGCTACATCCACCACCTTCATTTCCCTAGAGTTTCTAGGATTGGGAGAAAGGAGGAGGAAGAACCACTGCAGAGCTGAGAGGGAGACGAGGGAAGGAATGTGGCTCTAAATTTGGGAACCCTCCAGGTTGCGGAGCCTCACATATGTGCCCGGTGTTCTGACTGTACCAATACCTCTACTCCACATTTGGAGAGCACAAGGATGGATAAAGCTTATAGTAAGAAAGACATAATATTAGAAAGTTTGTTCTGTACTTCCCTGGCACTGTTTTATGCAGTTTTTTTAGCAGTATATATTACATATGCTTCTGTCTCTGTGAGTGGAAGAGACAACTGAAAGTGTAGGAAAAGCTGTGTCCAGGAATGTTTTTATGCCATGATTGATCATCTGATAGAGGAACTCTGAAATAGAAGACCCACTAAGGGATATTTGTAATGATCTATAACCAAAGAGAAAGAAGGACCAAGGTGCAACAGTGTGACTCTAGGTAAGCAAAGAAATCTTTTTCAAGGAATCTTTTTTTTCCCCATGTTGGAGGGAAAAGAATGGTCTCTTGGAGTACTTGTATATGCTTTGTAGCAACAAAAGAGGAGGCTAACAAGATGTTGGAACTTCATTACAGAATCAGGTGCGGGTTCTTTAAGAAGCTGCACTGCTCTGCCAGTAGGTTGCTTCATGCCAGCCTGCCTGGATCCAACAGCTGCTCTGATTCATTTATCAATAAATACCATCCTTGACTTTGGTAAAAAAATCCTCTCTTGCTGTCTGCATTCTCCAGTTAATCTGTTGTCTGGACTTCCTTTGCTTGCTTGCTATAAGCCTTGTCACAAAGACTATGATCCAGCTGTTCTGAGTCCTTTGTGGACTGGATTGGCTTGTATATCGAGGGTTTTGGCAGAATTAACTGCATCTGTTTGTTATGACAACCCCTTTCCCATTCCCTCTGCCCCAAATTCCCAGCTTCCCAACAATGGCTGCAGCCAATTCATTTGATTGAATCAGAGCAGGTCCTGCTGGCAGAGTCCAGCAGCCATATTTAAACCTGGCAAGTGAATTGGCTGACCTGCCATATTGGAGACGATTGTTACAACAACATAAGGGGATATCATGGGAATTACCTAGGGCAGCAGGAAGTTCTTTATTAGGCATGTGATATTAAAACAGTTTTCAAAAGATTTCCAAGAACACTGCGTGGTTACATCCTGCCATCCAGAGTCACTTGGATCCGCTGCCTGGAGTCACTTGGACTGAGATGGGCAGCTATAGAAATAGCATAAATAAATAGATAGATAGATAGATAGATAGATAGATAGATAGATAGATAGATAAATAAACCCCTGCAATCATCAAGAGATGAAGTGGACTCAAGGAAGCTTTTACGTTTATAACACAAGAGTGAGATTACTGTTCTCAGAAGGCTGGCACTTTCAAAACTTTGGGATTGTTTGTTTAATCTGTTGCTTAGGCAGTCAATTCCATGGCCCCCTTTCCCAGGCTGTCTGCCCATCCCAGACTGACAGCTCTGCAATTATGGAAGACCTCACAAAAAGTCCACTTGGCACTTACTATGTTACTCTTTCAGGGCCAAATACTTAAAATAAATAAATAAATAAATCCTCAGGCCTTTTAATTCCCCTGAATTTTTGCTGCTGTGTTTCCTTTTAAGTAGTTTTACCCATGTGGTATTTGTAGAGTTGCTTAAGGTGCAGTGTTTATTCTCTGTTGCTTTAATTTGTTGTTT